CAATCGTATACTTTAAAATGGTTCATTTTATGTTTTGTGAATGTCACCTCAACATAAAAAGGGGAGGGGAAGCCAGGTGCGGTGGCTCATGCCTGTAATCCCAGCACTTTGGGAGGCCAAGGCAGATGGATCACGAGGTCAAGAGTTTGACAACAGCCTGGCCAACATAGTGAAACCCCCTCTCTACTAAAAATACAAAAATTAGCCGGGCATGCTAGTGCATGCCTGTAATCCCAGTTACCCAGGAAGCTGAGGCAGGAGAATCGCTTGAACCCGGGAGGTGGAGGTTGTGGTGAGCTGAGGTCATACCACTGCACTCCATCCTGGGTGAGACAGCGAGACTCTGTTTCAAAAAAAAAAATAAAAGGAGTGGGAAAGGGGAATATGGGGCCATAGTTTGCCAACCCTGTCTAAGCATTTACAAATGGAAATGCCTGTTTCTGTTTGAAACAACTTCTGTTCCTGTCACCTGGTTAGCTCTTACTCCAGCTTAGGTGTCACTTTGGGAATCCTCCCTGACTTACTGATCTTGGTGAGCTGACAAGGCATCTTGTTCTCTCCCATGCCGTAGCAATCAGCACTCTGTATTGCAGTTGCTTGTGTACTTGCCAGAAACTCTCACCATCTGTCCTTGAGAGAAGGACCTGTGTCATATTTTACTTATCCCTAGCCCCTAGCATTGTGCCTGGCACAGTGAATGCATTTGCTCATTGAATCCTTGCCTGCTACAGTCCTTAACATGCCTTTTTGACACACTTACACCCAAATTTGACACATTTAACACTCAGCAGCCCCATGAGGTGGGAGGGTAAGCCTAGCAGGTGCCTAAGACTTAGAAGCAGGCTATCGGCCCAAGGCCACAGACGTAGCCTCAGGTCTGGTCTCTCACCTTCACCTCGGCTATTCTGTCTTCTCTGCCTCTTTGTCTTGGCTTCAGTTTAGGCTTCGTTTAGGTATCTGTACCTGTGGGACTCAAATGTGCTGTCATCATGTTGCTGGAAGTCTTCCCAATCTCTTGGGGAGGGTTTTGTCCTGTCTTTGGATTCTCATTTTTACCTTTTCATGCTCATTTTTCTGTTAAAACACAGACCACTTATCTGCTGGTTACTCCCTTATTTCTCCCTATAAGTATTTCTCCCTATACTTATCTGCTGGTTACTCCCTTGTTCTCCCTATTACAGGCTTTAGTACCACTAATCTATTTTCTGTCTCTATAAATTTTCCTATTCTGGATATTTCATAGGTGGAATCAGACAATACGTGGCCTTTCATGCCTGACTTCTTTCCTCAATATGTTTTCAAGGTTCATCCATGTTGTAGAATGTGTCAATACTTTGCTTAATAACTTTAACAGAAATCTGTGCGATAGAAAATATTTTTAAAGACAAAGTTGAAGCCTTTGTTATCCCATTTTAAGGAGTTGTGAGTGAGTTGGGAATAGGCTGAGGATTTTATTCATGAACTACATGTGAGCTCACTCAGCAGAGACAATTGAATGTTTAATTACAGGAGCTTGAACTGGGACCCTTTTGTATTCCATTCACTTAGCTTTTTGAGCATTTGACATTGGATATAAATGTACTGAAATTCTTTAGTAGAAAATATAAATTCTGGCCGGGCGTGGTGGCTCACGCCTGTAATCCCAGCACTTTGGGAGGCCAAGGCAGGCGGATCACGAGGTCAGGAGATCGAGACCATCCTGGCTAACATGGTGAAACCCCATCTCTAGTAAAAATACAAAAAATTAACTAGGCGTAGTGGCGGGCGCCTGTAGTCCCAGCTACTTGGAAG